CTGATTGCTGCAAATTGAATCTTTCATAACGGGATTTATTGTAAATAGTGTCATATCATTTGTGAGTTCTGCAATAATTTCGTCAAAGCCAGTACATGCTACTGGAGGTGAGATTTGCAAGACATATATGTCAGTTATGCATAGATTATGAAGCTTATAGGAAGGTTTTGTTATTTATGTTTTTAATTGCTTACAAAATAACCAGATGGCAATTTTTGCTCTGAAATTTTAGACATTCTTAAATAGTTTAACTTTAAAGTCCAGAAAAAATGAGCTAGCCACTTGATTTCAGCAATTGTTTTAGAATTGTCAGCCCCACCCACCCACACCCCTTCCCCTTCTACCCTAGTTGTATAAGAAGCAATTAAATGATAGGTAGTTAAAATTTTGAAATATGGGTTTTACATTGTTTAGAAGCAACAAAGGTCATTCATTATTAATTATAATCAGTGATCAATATAAACTATAAGTGAAAAAGAATGGAAATTCAAAAGTAAGATATTTGAGTTCTACAAAACATACCTTAATTCCTTTATCATAAAACTGAATGATGGCAACAATTTAAGTGTTCAGTACTCTTACCTGCAGTTGGATTTAGTTTCTTATACTTTATTCAAGTACATGAATGATCAACATTAAAAACATACTATACAAATTTTGTATTTTGTATGTGTGAGACTTTGGTGACACTCCACATACTTGATAGCTTTGATGAAAAAAAAACTCAAAAAAGGTGCTGTATTACAGTCACACAATCTTTCTCTTCCAGACCTGAATAATGGAAATTCAAAAAAGGGGGATAAGGGAACAAATCGTGGGGCCAGAAGTTTTGGATAATCTCTTTCTTCTAAACAATAACAACAAAAAATCACTTTCTATATTTTTCATGTATTTCGGCTGACATTATAAATATGGATATAAGAATACAGCATTTCAGCAAGGTCTGAATACAGAGGTCTTACTCTCAGAAAATCTAGGATCTTAAATATCAGGTCCTTTGTGGGGGATAAATGCTCAGTCTAATCCTTCTTCATTCAAGGAAGAGTAAATAGGCCATACGCATGTTAATGTTTGTCATTCTAAATAGGGAATTCTCTACTTCTGAACCAAAGAATTTTCATTTCCCTCCCCCCTCCCTTAAGCAGTCTTTCCATCTTTCACAAATCAAAGGAAAAGGTAAAAAGACAGCCTTCCTTTCTTTATGTATATTTTAATAGGTTTACTAATCAGAGCACATATAGGTTAAAATGAATCATATTCACATAGTTAATAGCAAACAAAACTGTTTAACTCATGTGCAGCCTTCTTTCATGTTAATTTTATTCAAGAACATACCTTCCTTTTCCTACTTCTTTATTCTTTCTTTCTTGGATACCTCCAACCCCCATGGATAACCAAAATGCAGGGCTATAAATGTAAGGGTGCAATACATCATAGAAAAGTCTAGAGAACATGTCCTCTACCAAAATGCACATGAATCTCTGGTGCAGCTAAAATTCCAGGATCATGCTGGAGTTCATTTTGCATGCTAAGCAGGGTCAAATACATGAACTCTATGTGGACGTCCTCATATATCAGATGAGCGCCAAAGTTTAAAGGTTACATTTGTGAAATTGCATCTGGGTTTCCTAGTACTTGCTTCTAGCTTCTGTAAATCAAAGACTCCCAATTGAAAGACAAATCTGACAATATGATAATCTTTCAATTAAAAAATGTGGCTTCTAAACCTTTTTTTGGTTGAAGAGCTGACAGAGGAGTTCAGAAATGGTTGTTTAACCAGAAAAAAATGATAGAGAAAATGTGTTTTCTCACAAGATCATAAAGCTTGAATAATGCAGAGGGGAAATGTACAGCAAAGGACGGTCCCCTATTCTGTCTACCAGGCTCTACTTCCCCTATTCCTGGTACACTCAGCCTCTCACCTCTAAGGCAAGGGCTAGTGTCAGACTCAAATTCCAAGACATACAAAGTAACATCTTGGCATAGTTTGAGATGGGAAGATTTCAGCATTTCATAGTTGGGGGGGGGGGGCTGTGGAAGGGAAAAGCAGCATACCACTGAAATCTGGAAACAACAGCATATATACATGCACAAAAAAAGTTTGCATATTGCACAGAGCGCTTGAAGATCATAAATCTATGCATGAGAAAGATGTAGTGGAAATTTTGGGGGGGATTAGAGTTTATTTTTGTCATCTCTGTGAGACAGCTACTCATTCATCCAGATCACAGCTAAGAAAAAAGCTGGTCACAGAAATTAGCAGTTTCAGCTCAGCAGCGAAGTCGCCAGCCTGTGAAGGCAGAGAGAAATTGACTAATTAGCAATGCGCACTAAAACTTGACGGTTCTTTATAGAGAGAGAGAAGAGAGAGGGAGAGAGAGGGAGCGGGAGGGAGGGGGGGCTCGCTTTTTCCCCTTCTTTCTTCCAAAGATGTTTGAAATCGCAGTCATTTACGCTCGACAATTTTTACAATAGCCTTGAGCCATAATTTTGCGAGTCTCTCCAGCATCCATCCCCCTGTATGGTCTCTCTCTACTGGCCAAGCACGACCGTTTCTCTCCCCAACCGTGGATTTCCTATTACTCTCGTTACGACTCACTGAGCCCCAGGCCCAAGGATAATGATGTGTTGTTTCTTGGTAGCATAATTTGTCACACGTACATTTTTTCTTCTTCTTCTCTTGCAGAAAGCTCTGCTCCCTCTCTCTCTCTCCCTCTCTCTCCCTCTCTCTCTCCCCCTCTCTTTTTCTCTCTTTTCTCCCTCTCCTACATTTTCTTGCTGTTGCTAATTCATGGTGATCAAATGATGTACGACAAAATAAATTGTAAAGAGTGACTGCCTGGAGTTGGGAACCAGAAGGTGTTTTCCCCCTCCCAAGGAGAGAGCAAACCTTTAAAAAGGAAGGACAATTGATTTTGGGGGGGGAGCTTAAGTGAGCCTTGACTTTGCAGCTGGTTGAAAGCAGGTAAGTTTCTGGCCTTGTGTCTGCCTTGTGTCTATTTTGTTCTGTGTTTTGGGTTGTTGGCGGGGAAGGGACTGGGAGGGAGTCTTTCAGAGGGGTGGGGGGGTAGTTGTGTGGCAAACGCTCATAAAGAATATAACTCCTATTGCAAGAAATAAGGAGAGGAGGGAGAAAGGAAAGGAAGAACAGGAAGGAAAGAGAACAGGAAAAGATGGGGGGGGGTACATCGAAGCGGGGAGAGCGAGAGAGAGGTATGATCGGGTCCACTTACAGGGAGAGACTCTAGGAGGTGTTTCAAGAAAGCCAGCGCTTTGGGGGCGTTGGGGGGGGGGCGGTTGTTGCCGGGGGAGGGAGCCCGAGGGAGGCTAGGGTCCACCTGGAACGGGATGGTAAAGTGAGTCGAGATCAGCTCCGACCGGTATAAATAGAAAGCTGGCGACCCAGGACTGGCGCCAGGCAGGACAGAGTGAGCCGCAGTGGAAGGGGCAGGTCCGGCGGGATCCCTCTGAGCCGGGCGGCGGCGGCGGCGGTGGCGGCGGCGGCGGCGGCGGCGGCGGCAGCTGTGGCTCACCCTGGCCGGCGGGCGCGGGGGCACGGGCGGGAAGTGGGTAGAGGGTCCCTTTCTGCTCGGCCCTAGAACGTGCAATTACAGGTTACAGACCTAGCTATCGATTCGCCTCACCTCCCCCATCCTGCCGCCCTCTGCCTAGATGAGGGAGGCTCAGACTTTTTACAGAAGTAGTTCCAGGGCCAGCTGAGTGGGGGTGCCCGAGTAGGGTTGGGGGGGTGACTGTTAGGGTCTGTACCGAAGGACTCGGAAGGAAGGTGCGGCTGCAGGCCGGGTTGCTGGACACCAAGCAGAGACCCCTACAGAACTGCGGCCCCCCATCCGCGCCCCCATTGGGCAGCCCCCGCCCCACCCCTCCCCCAATACCTGCCTGTTAACTTGAACTTCTCATAGTTACTGGAGTTAAAGCCACAGCGCCTGGTGCCCGGAAGGGAGAACTGTACACACGAATCCCTCTGGGCACTTGCTCCAAATCCACCCCACAATCCCACTTATACCCTCCTCGGCTTACTCGGTACTGCCGGCGAAAGAGTGGGAGATAAATGTTGGAACTTTGGTGCTTTCAAATGAGGGGAACAAGGGAGAGGGGGCCGGATGGGGAGTTGGAGGGATTCTCCAGCAAGATTTAAAGGCATCTCTGGAAAATTAGCAAAACTGAGTGATGACGGGAAGCCAACAGTTTGCGAAACAGGGAAGCAGGCAGGGCCGGGGTGAGGGAAATGAGCTAGAATTGATAAGGACAGCTCCCGCCTCTGCCGAGTCCACTGAGCTGGTCCTCACCTCGCTCCGCTGCACTTTCCCGGGAGAAGAAAGGGCTTTATCTGCTTCCTCAGACTATTAGGAGTTTCTCGGGGCAGCACGGATAATCGAAGGTGTTACCAGCTTTTGGGGGGCACAGAATCGCCCGCCCGCCTGCACGCACGCTCCTTGGACCCTTTCCTACCCCTTAAAACTGGATCAACTGAGAAAAGCAAATCTACTGACACAAGTTGACCTGGAACCTCCGCCGACGGTCGCCTCAACACTCTCGGGGCAACTGCCAGCTCCCCACTCCCCGGCCTTTCCCTGCATCCAACCCGGCATGGACACAAGCCCACGAGGTGTCTTGGCCTCAGCCGCCACTTTGCCGTCGCTTCTGCCACCACTGTCGCTGCCAAGAGCCGAGCCGGGGTGGTTTTAGGAAAGTGAGAAACGAAGTGTGTGGGAGGTGTCGAGAGGAGTAGCTAGGAGCAGAACCGGTACCCGGACCCCAGAAAGGGCCCTTCAGGTGGTGCTCTCAGAGCCAGAATCAGCAGACCTTCCTTCCTAGGGTCGGGTCCGGAGGCGCGAGGCAGGAGCCAAGCTAAGCACTGATTGTTGTTCTTCGCCCCCTCCCCTCCCTTCCACACCCATCCCCACCCCTGCCACACCCCACCCCCTCCACTACCCTTCTCCCCTCCCTCCCATCCCCCACCCGTCTGCCAGGTTGGAGGAGGGTTTAAAGGCAGGTGCGCCGAGTCAGCTCGCCATGTCCAGATCCGGGGACAGGACCTCCACCTTCGACCCTAGCCACAGTGACAACCTGCTGCACGGCCTCAACCTGCTGTGGAGGAAGCAGCTGTTTTGCGACGTGACCCTGACGGCCCAGGGCCAACAGTTCCACTGCCACAAGGCCGTGCTGGCCTCCTGTTCGCAGTACTTCCGATCGCTCTTCTCCAGCCACCCCCCTCTCGGGGGAGGGGTCGGTGGCCAAGACGGCCTAGGGGCTCCCAAGGACCAGCAGCAGCCGCAGCAGCAGCCGCCGCAGCAACAGCAGCAGCAGCAGCCGCCTCCGCAGGAGGAGCCCGGGACTCCTTCCTCCTCCCCCGACGACAAGCTGCTGACCAGTCCTCGGGCCATCAACAACCTGGTGCTGCAGGGCTGCTCGTCCATTGGGTTGCGCCTGGTGCTGGAGTACCTCTACACGGCCAACGTGACCCTCTCCCTGGACACGGTGGAGGAGGTGCTGTCGGTCAGCAAGATCTTGCACATCCCCCAGGTCACCAAGCTCTGCGTGCAGTTCCTCAACGACCAGATCTCGGTACAGAACTACAAGCAGGTGTGCAAGATCGCAGCACTGCACGGCCTGGAGGAGACCAAGAAGCTGGCCAACAAGTACCTAGTGGAGGATGTGCTGCTGCTCAACTTCGAGGAGATGCGCGCCCTTCTGGACTCGCTGCCGCCCCCCGTGGAGTCTGAGCTGGCGCTCTTCCAGATGTCCGTGCTGTGGCTGGAGCACGACCGCGAGACCCGCATGCAGTACGCACCGGACCTCATGAAGCGCCTCCGCTTTGCGTTGATCCCGGCCCCGGAGCTGGTAGAGCGGGTCCAGTCAGTGGATTTCATGCGCACCGACCCGGTCTGCCAGAAGCTGCTGCTGGACGCCATGAACTACCACCTGATGCCCTTCAGGCAGCACTGCAGGCAAAGCCTAGCCAGCAGGTAGGAGACAACAAAGAGGAGGGTGGGGGTGAAGGGGAGCCTGGCTGGCCGGAGAGAGGGGAGGGGGGAGGTGAAGTAGGGACAGTGGTGGGCTGGACTGAAGGAGCTGGCAGGCTGAAAACAAACGCAAACAATCAGCTGGAGTGAGGAAAGTTGATGTCAGGGACTCTAAAGGTCAATGGGGAACCGGCCTAATGTGAGCACTAGAAAGCCCATATTCTCCGTATCCCCAGAGGAGGAAATGTGGGACTGGTGGCTTGAAATTGACAGGCAGGTGGGACCAAAGGCTGGGCAGTTAGAAATCCAGCTTTGGAACCCTCGCTGTGCCAGTTCTCTGTCCAATCTCGAAAAAGCTTTCTTTTAAAGAGAAGGGAGTCTGCCCTAAGAAGTCCCCTCCCACTCAGCCCCTTTCCTGCCTTGGGCTAGCCAAAGTGCTCTGGCAATGCTCTGAGAAGTGTTTCATTCTTTCTGTCACTCAGGTTGCTTTTTTTTTTTTTTTTTAATTTAAATTGACTGGTGCTTGCTCTCTTTGAGGTGAGAATTCTGAGGTTCTTGGTCTGTTAGGGTTGCTTTTGGAAATTTTGATATGTTATATACCCAGGCAAACTTTTCTATCTTGAGGAAAGCCTTCCTTTTCCACTTTTGAAGGAGAGCAAAGCAAAGAGGTTGCAGGGTGTCTTGGTGAATATTGCCTACTAGCTCCCATCTCAGAAGGGACCCCGGTTGAAAACTGAGAGAAAGGGAGTCAACTCCCTCTGGCTAGGTCCCTTGGACTAGCTCAGAAGTCACGAAGAAGTTGAGGGGCAGGAGGAATGGTTGTTGTTTCGAATGCATCTGTGTATGTATGTTGCAGCAGAATTTCATGTCAGGGGAGAGGGGGAAATGATATCTTTATAAAAATGCTGCTGAGATTCAAATAAAAGGCTGTAGGAATTGACCACTGTTTTATTGGCTCTAATCTTAAAACCTTTTTATTGAACCCTAACAATGCATTTATTTCTCTTTTTAGAAAAGAGAAACAGTATTGTCTCCATTTCTCATGATAAAATACTGTGATTTGAGATGCCAATCTACCCTAGCCTAATTCAGCAAAGTATTAACTCAGAAAGTACATAGTTCAAAAGTCCATCATGGTATTTCCCTTTCAGAAAGGGGGGCCAAAGGATGGGGAGTACTTTATGCAGCTTTATGGAATTAGATGTTTATTTTTTCATTATGATAATTCTACCAGACCTAGGTAACTAAAGTTTTAAGAAATGGAAGACATTCCCTACAGTTCTTTGGGTGGCGTGGATGTTCAGGTGAGGCCTATGGGAACCATGGACAATCTGGAACTTGAAATCTTCTAAACTGCTTTATTTTTTTTTTAATATTTCTGAGAATGAGTTAATGAATTATGTCAAGAGATGATGGTATTTTTGGTACAATAGCACAAGCAAGAATACAAACCCCCATGTACTTGAATGTGAACACAGGCATCCAAGTGAAAACAAGATCATGGAATGTATTTCTGTTTTTGTAAGTCTTTCATTTGTCTAATGATCAAAAACGGTAAAATTATATTGGTGGAGAAATTTTACCATACCAATAGGCACTGGTGATTGGTATTCTGTTATTTTAACTTTTCTCACTTTTAAGTAACACGCACATCTATGTAATTTAGTGCATATCACACATACTCAAAAATTCAGACAGTTAATAGTCCTCAGCACACACTTATTTATATTTCTTAAAATTCTTACAAACCTAGTTTAAATTCAGAAGTCAGCAGGATAATAAAATTGAGATTTAACTTGTTCTAAGAGTGATTTTGGAAAATTAGCACTATAAATTTAATGCCATAAATAATTTCTGAAGCCCTCGATGCACTTTTATCTGAAAAGTATGTCTCAGGGTTCAATGTTAGAAGAGAGTTGACTTCCAAAATGCAGAATCTCTTCCTTACCTTAGTCCAGACTCAGCACATCAGTTGGGGTTTGCTGGTTCTGTCCTGGTGGAGAGCTGAGATACCAGACTGCCTGGCTCTGTGATGACACCTTCCAGCTTCACTGGGCCATGTCATTTGAAGGCTACGTAGTGGCGTCTGACCAGTGAATGCATACAAGTGTCATGGGTGCTGCAAGAATCTGGTACTTTCACTGTAGGAAAAAAAGTGTATTATACCTTTAAAGGCAGAAGATAACACAGAAAGGAAAATTAATTCATGTGAACCTGTTATTGATCTCAAAGTAATGTAATTTAGATTTTGGTCCATAATTAGCAACTTAGCCTTTTCATCTTCAGGGACTAATTGCGTTATTCTAATTTTAATGCACAGAAGCAATGCAAAATAAACATCATGATCTTACTTTAATCTAGACCAAAATGCCATAACCAATAGTATTATGGTAGCCTATTATGGTAGCAGCATAATATTAAAATATTCTTTCAGCCTTACATATAGTTTAACAGAAGGATAATTATGTTAAACAATTGTGTTTACAATTACATCACTTTTATTGAAGACAATGGGATGGAAGGTAATGGTGTTTATTAATTTTAATCCATTTGTAGTTTTTAAAGACTGAATATGAAAGAACTCTTCAAATTCAAAAGAATCAGGCAATTATAACTGACCACTCTTTTGGAATAAAAGACAAAATATAAGCAAATAGATGTTTTTAAAGAGCATTTACTTGCAAAGGAATGTTATTGATAGAAAGTAGATCTATTAATATAACCATTTTAATCATGTGTTCAGAGATTATTAAATAATTTTGCATTTTAAATTAAGTCTAGGAAGTAAAGCAACCCAAGCATAAAGACTTCCTATCTACCCAAATTTTTGCTTTAATTGATAAGTTTTTCTGAGTATGCCATTTGTGCTTGGATTCATCTTTTACTTTAGCAAATCAAGCATTAAAAATAATAAACAAAAGAAGTATTGCCTTTTATCTGAATATGGACATATCTAAGATAACAGAACTTAGGTAGACAAAAAAATCAGAATATTTTAGACTTATTGCTTACTTTCTTTTTTACGAAGGAAATTAAAACAGTAAGTTCTTTTAAAAAGTTTCTGGAAAAGTCATTATTAAAAGCTTCTGTGACCTGGAAATTTAATAAACTGATCTGATATACAATGTTTGGTACATTAAAAAGTAAATATTAGAAGACTTATAGTCTAAGCTTAAGTAGCCTCCAATGTTAATTTTATTTGTATTGTCAAAAAGTTAATTCATAATTTAGTTATAGTCCCAAATCAATCTAATTGGACTTGTTTTAATTACTTCTTTTTTTACATTTACATTGTATCTTACGCAATATAGTGATTAAATGAAGAAAGAAATTAAAGAATGAAGGAATTAGGATTATAAATAAGAAAATCTCAGTGTTGCATGCACCAACATGTCCCTTACCCTTTACAATTAGTGTACATAACAAAAGTTTATTGAATCTTCTCCAGGAAAACACCTGTAGCAGAAAGTCATTCATGAAAATAATTATATTTTTAAACATTTAACTACCAGCTATTACAGTCCTGTGTTAAGGTGTAAAAATCATATTTATTATAGAGATTTCACATTCTATAAAATAGTCTATTTAAAGGTTTCATATAAATTAATGCAAAAATCTATTTAAAAATCAGGTGTACTAATTATCTACTTGCTAAAGTGACTTGCGATGATTAAAAAACCATTCGATTTCCTGACGTACAGTTTTGATTTCTGGATCTGCTACTTCAAAAGTGTTTCTTTAAATGTAGGCAGTATTTTCTATTGTTTCTCTTAAGAATTGAATTACAACCTTGACAAAACAAACTAATCTTGTATCCATAAATTCTCTAAATTGTTACTTCCGTTTATATCAATTTGATACCCTTAGATTGGAAGTTGTTAGGTAGTTAGATTTGTATCAGAAGTTACTCAACCATTCAGAATACAATTTGTTTATTATCTGAAACAAGACCATTGATTACAAAATTATATCACAGGTATGGGAGCCAAATAGCTATACTCAACAATCAAAAGGCAATTAGAATAGATATTAATGTCTTTTATTGGCTTAGAAGACTTACTGACAAATGTGGACATACTCAAATTTTAATTCATGTTTGTATTTTCCTTATTGATAAAAATGTTGAGATGCATTCATTTACCTTAAGTTATTTCTAAGTATCTCGATTTACTTGACTTAAAAATTCAGTATGAAATATGCTACTTTATTTATAGCAGCTACTGCATATTAGGTGATGTTCTTGGCATTTTACATGTGTTAATTTATTTGTCTATCACTACTGCTCATTTATAGATGGGTCTATGACCAGAGAAGATAGGCATTTTGTACAGGGTTGCTAAAAAGTGATGGGCCCTAAGTCTGAGCCCAACAATGTGGCTCTTGAGTCTGTGTTTTCCTTGATAGCATTCTTCTTAGAATGAATCTTATCTTTCTGGGATAAAATCTGGTGTTTTACCTTACAGTAAATTTAAGACTTTATTTTTATAGAAAAAAAATGTTGTAGTTATATTAATATATCTGGCACTTAAGAAGAGAGCTGTTGTTCTAGTCCAGAGGTAGACTTTTTTTTTTCTAAAAAACTCAAAATATTTTTGGCTTCCTGGGGAGGCATGTCTCACAATCTCTGTTGCAACTATGCCACTCTTCCTTATAGTGCAAAAACAACCATCAGCAATAAATACATAAATAAATGGGCCTGTGTTTACATAAACCTTTGTTTATGGGCACTGAAATTGCACATGATTTTCACACATATGAAATATTATTATTCTTCTTTTGATTTTTTTTCTACCTACCATTAAAAAGTACAAAGAAAACACTGAGTCTACAGATTTTGTGAGAACTGGATGTAGTCTGTTTGTTCTGTGAGTTGTAATTCACTTACTCCCCATTTTAGGCCTTTGGGATGCATCAGTAAAGAAAATGGACACAAAATTTTGCCCTTAGTCTTGTTCAGAGAATCCCATTGGTCTTCCTCCTTTCAGCTGGCAAGAAATCAAGTC